TGCCACCCTGTCCCGCGCGCAGCGGGTAGAGCATCGCCTCGGCGGCACGGCGCGAAGGCCTCACCCGGGGTGTTTGTCAAAGGTTTCTAAGAGGTGGCTCATGGCAAAGGGGACCTCTGGAAAGCCGATGGTTGCAGCATGTGACAGCGCCTTGATTTCTCAGAAATGGGAGAATAACTGAAAACTCCTAAGCGAGTGAAAGTCCCGGGCACCCTGTTAAGACCCAATTTGTCACTTTTTCCTACACTTGGTGCTGAAACTCTGTAACGCCCCGTGGTGAGCGTCGCTCCCTGTGATTCACCTAAAGTACGGCGTGTTTCCTTTTTGGGGAAAACCAGGAGGCAGCACTGTCACACTTCCCCCCTGGCTCGCTGCCGAAGAGCGTTGCATCGGTGACATGCGGCAGCTTGCATCATCTGCTTCCGCGGGCGGCTCCGTCGGCGCAGACACGCTGCTCTGCCGGGAAGGGCCAGACGTGTTCCAGCGGCTGCTGACCTTAGAGAAGTTGCTAAAGCCCCGAGAAGTTGTCGGGCTTTACGACTTCTGATTTCGCAGAGCAGATGATGGCGCCTGGGCAGATCGCTCCTCTGATCCGTGTGGCTGGGATGGTGGGAGCTGCTCTGCCAGGGTGGTGTGGAGACGTTACAGTCCCGTGTGAGCTGACATGATAGCAGCGCTTGCAAGGAGCTGCTGGTGTGTGTGGAACGAGGTGAAGCTCAGAGGGAGCTTCTGTGAAGGAGGCTGCTGCCTGGTGGGTCCCCAGGCTGGGTCTCCTGGAGGGGCACCCCGGGGGTGGGCAGGCAGCCCCCAAAGCCAGCGGGAGCTGAAGGTGGCTTCTCCTCAGACAGGGAGGGGGAAAGGTGTTCTCTTCCTCCCTGCCTCTAGGTCATGGAAAGGAGGGACTGTGGCACAGGGAATGGGTGGCTGATCCCCCTGAGATGGGTTTTATCTCCGCCAGCCCAGCAGAAACCTCTCTGTGATGTGAATAACTTAGGATGTGAATGACCGGTGCCGTGTTTCCCCTTCCTGCCCCTGCGGCGTTGCTGGTGCTGTGGCCGGTGCGTCCTTGTGCCTGGCACGGCCGAGGCCGAGTGCCGGTTTCATGTCTGAGCATGGGAAGGGACAGAAGAGAGCTCTGAGAAATGTGGGAACTGCTGGAGTGTGTGTTAGTGAGCTGGGTCCATTTTATCTTGTGTTGGAGGATCTAAACACCTTCCCTTCCAAAAACCTGCCCTATGAGGTGATGTTGCCCAAACTCTGCCCTAAAATCACTGACTGGATATTAGGAAGAATTTCTTTCCTGAAAGAGTGGCCAGGCATTGGACCAGGCTGCCCAGGGCGGTGGTGGAGTCCCCATCCCTGGAGGAGTCCAAAAGACGTGTAGATGTGGCACTTCAGGACATGGTTTAGCAGGCGTGGTGGTGATGGGGTAACAGGTGGGCTTGGTGATCTTAGAGGCTTTTTCCAACCTTAATGATTCTATGAGTCTATGTTCTATGAATTGGCTCGTACGGGTTGGACTAGATGATCTTTAAGGTCTTTTCCAACCCAAACCTTCTCTGATTCTAAAATTAAAACCAGCCGAAAGTCTGGCTTGTGTTGGGGTCACAGTTCCAAACTCCAAGCAAGGACCGTGCTGTTTTCCTGCCGTCCCATTAACGCCCCGCACGCTGCTCAGCTCCCTCGGTGTGGGCATGGCCAGCCTGCCTCGCAGAGGGATGAGGAGCTTGAATTTGTTGGGGTGTTTTTGTGTTTTTTTCTTTTCCCTGTCTGCGCTGAGCCTTGCTGTGGGCACGCGCTGGGGCAGCGAGTCAGCCCTCGCTCCTCACATCCCGCACG